GTTTGAGATATTTAGCTAAAATCTGCACTTACAAAATGAAGACATACCTTCAATTTACATATTGTCTCACTGTTTTACATTTTAAATGCAAATAAACAATCTAAGTGGCCATACAGAATGACAGAATTAAATTATCTCATATTTTTGCAAATACTATCTTGTTTTTTTAATGCTATCTTTGTCTTTTTTAAGGTTAAAATGTTTTGTTTTCTAAAATATACCCCACTAAACCATATCAAAATCTGAATGAGGAGCAGACTAAGGTGGGACACAGTGGCAATCCTAGATACTGGGGAGGCAGAGGTAGGAGGATTGAAGTTTGAGGCCAGCCCAGGCAAGGTTAGCATGAGATCCTATCTGAAAAACAAACTAAAAGTAGTAGGATTTGGAGCATGTCTCAAGCGGTAGAGCTGCTTTCTTTTTATTAGCATATATTAATTATACAAATTACACAAAGGGTTTCATTATGATATTTCCATACATGATATAATGTAATTTGATTGACTTCACCCCCACAATTGCTTTTTCTGTTCCCCTTTCCCATTTTAACATGTGTCATTATTCTATCTTCACACATGCATATGAAGTGTTTTGATCACAATTATGTCTCCTTTTGCCTCCCTCCTCAAGTGACAGAGCCCTTGCTGAGCAATTATTTAATCAGCAGTACCAAAAAAAAAACCAACTAAACTAACAACCAATTAACAACCAAGGCATCAGTGAAGAAATTAAAGAGGAAAACTTAGAATGTCTTGAAGCAAATGACAGCAGACATGTGACCATGAAAGCCATGGTGCCCTGCTGTTCAATGAAACCAACAGTTCAAGAGACAGAGTGACATAGAAAGAAAGAGCTCTATTGGCTGCAAATATGTAAATGGGAAGTCATCCTGCTTGGGGGGGTCACAGGTTCAAGGATTGTAGGGATTTGGGGGAAGTACATTTTTAGTTTTGAACAGGTGGGTGCAGTGGTGGTCATAAATTTTGTATTGGTGTGCTTTTCTGACTCACGTGCTGCTGTTATCTGTGGGTCACCAACCTCTTTGAAACAATAAAGAACAGTGAGTGAAAATGTGCAGTTTTTTGAGTGGCCTTGGTGGGTCACATCTGCAATCTCAATTGCTTGGGAGGCATAAATAGGAAGATTAAAGTCCAGGTCAGCCAGGGAAACACTGAGATCCTAATCTGAAAAATAATGAAAGCAAGAAGGACTGTGGATCCTGCTTAAGTGGCAGAGTACTGGCCTAACAAGTGTGAGGCCTGAGTTCAAATCCCAGCATCTCTATTCTCTCCCCAGGAAAGAGAAAAATAAACACCCCATTATTGTAACTCAAGGAACCGGAAAAACAAAAAGAAGCCAAATGAAATAGTAGTGCAAGGAAAGCAGTAACACATTTCATATCAGAAATAAAATGAATAAAGACTAAAACAATATAAAAGATCATTGAAATGAAAATTTGGTTTTTTGAGAAGATAAGGCTAAATGAACAAACCCTTAGACTAATAAAAAAAGAGAGAAGACTCAAATAAATAAAATCATAGTTCATAAAGGAGACATTACAACTGATATCATAGACAGAAGTAGAAAGGATCACTAGAGACTATCACATTCAAATATGTGCCAAACAATTTGATAAATTCCTGGATACAAACATGTATACCTTATCAAGATGGAGTCATGAGGAAATAGAAAACCTTAACAAATTAAAAATGAGTAGCCATATTGAAGCAGCAAAGAAAAGTCAAGGACCATGAAGGGTTCCTTCTTGTTTTCTTGTCAGCTTATGTCAATGTCTCTGTGTTACTTGTTTTACTAAAAAATGAGATATATTCACAAGAAAACAGATAGGAAATGCTGTGTTCCTTGATCTAAGCTTGATGAATGGGGTTTCAGGACAAGGTGTTCAAGGAACTTCAAGGTGTAACACAAATTCTTTTTGTCTTTTTGTACAGGTCTTTTAGGTTCCCTATAGGCAGCATATCCATTTCTCAGCCTAAAGGTGTTAGGCTGGTTGCCTGGATTCTAAGAGCAGAATGAGGAAAATACTAAAAGGATGCCAGATGCAGAATCTAACAGATTTCTTTGCTTTTGGTGTGACATAGTCAAATCTCAGCAGTGTTAGAGTAGCAAAGTCTAGAGGCTTCCCAACTCCCATCTTTTCAAGGGTTCCTACTCCTTTTACCTGCTTTGATAGCAGATCTCGAGGAGCCCTCCTGTGACTCTGTGGACTAGGAAAATTTCATTTTTTAGCAGATATTTAAATTATTTTGGTTTTAGCCTCCCTCTACAATCCATCTTCTTACACACAGTGTTTATCATTTGTAGGATTCTATTGCTATTCTTGAGTTCTGCAGTGCAACTTTGTTTTGTTCTTACTGGATTCTCTCCTGCCTTCCTCAACACTATACAGGTCAGTTAGGTTTTACTTCTTTTCTATAAGTCATTTCCTACTTTTTATCTATGGTCCATCTTACAAAAGTTTATTGATTTCTTTGCTCTCAGTTCCTTGAGTTTTATTAGTCTTTATAGATTCATGGTATTATTTATTTTGTGGAATTTCTGTGGGTTTTGTAAGGGTCAGAAATAATGACTTCTATTTAATTTATTATGTTTGATCAGAACTAATTTTTTTACCCATTTAGATTGCTGATTATAAGGATTAAATCACAGAAAAATTCAGTAAAGATTTAGTACACTAATAGTTATAAAAATCTGAGATGCCATATAATTTTTATTTCAGATATTTCTTGTTAGAAGACAATGACCTGACTTCCATTTCTAAGAGATGATGCTCAAGAATCCTTAGCACACTGAGACCATTCTTACCTAGAATATAATGTTTTTCTCTATATAGGCTTATAATTTTTCTCTACCATTAAAATAATACTCAGTAGTCATGTAACACCAATCATTTGCTATGAATTTCTCAAACACATAGGCATTCGATATACTTGCCTTCTTGTTTAATTGTGCATCTTATATTGCTTTCTACTTATTTAATAATGATGAAATATCTTTCATAGGAATTTTACATGTTCTTTGTGGACAGTGATAGCATCTTCTAATTCTTCACAGTGATAAATACAGTGGTTACTCACGATTAACGAATAAATGAATCGTGATGTATTGGTCTAGGATTTGACCAATCCATTCTTTGTCTTTCTTTTTTGACAAGTTTTTAATCAAAAAGGCCATTCTTAAATGGCAAAGATCACAAGTTTATTTTCTTTCATATAAACTTATTACTGATTGAGTTTGTATGTGAGGAAATAAGCAGTATGCTGCAAAAGGGTAACAGAATAGAAGGAAATAGATGATGCATAGGCATGAAAATAAGTATGAGAAAAATATAAGTATGGATAATTATACTGGATATTGGATAATGCTGGTGTCACATCTCAGGAGAATTTTGCCAACCAGTGTCATACATGATACAGCTGTTGTGAACAAGTTCATCTTGTAGGTTGGGAGGTAAACTACATGACTAAGCAAGAGGGGTGTTGCATAGTATTTGCAAGAATATTTTTAGTGTTTGAGCTCCATGTTAATGTGAGAAATACCTTTCTTCCCATACTTTGGGAATCACAGAAATCAAAGCAAGAAACATAGCTGAGTCACAATTATTAGATTGCAGCTATGTCAAAGTAATTCCATATCAGTACATTAATTACTTTGGTTTTCTAGAAAAAAGTGCATATTTACATAAATCAACTAACAAACATATTTTACAACTAAAAAGCAGAATCTGCTTTACTGTTGCATGTGAATTTACTGATATATTAGAGTGAGTAGTGATTCCTCAAACAATTATGCCTGGGAACCTGTATCTTTTCCAGCAAGGGTACATAATCTGACCTCATAATCTTTACTAAGAAAATCAACAGTTTATTAAAGATAAATGGAAGTTACTGAGTACTTACTAAGGACTTTCTAACTACTAAAATGTAATATACCTTTCAAGTTGACCTAATGTTAAGAGACCTTAGTCTCTCCTAATTCAAATACTGTTCTTTCCTCCCACATTACAGTATCTGTCATTTTAAAAACTAGACATTCAACTTTGCTACCATCACTGAAATCAAATGTGCCACACTTTTATATCTGAGTAAAGTTAATAAATCATGTTTTTTCCATATTGCAAAGAGAAAGCAATGGTTATTTATTAAATATTCAAGTGATAGGGTTTTTTATTCATTTATAAACACAAGTGGGTAAATAATTCAGAGTAGGTAAAAGAAATTTTGTTGCAATTGAGCTATAAACCTGCATGAGATACCCATAGAATAATATGACAAGATGAGTTAAGATTGAAAACATGTTGATTCATATTTATTGATCTTTTACTACCATCTGCTTTATTTGGGCTGCATTGTCAGTCTTTTAATCATCCTAATGTTGAAGTTCATTGCATTTTTACTCATAAGAAAATTTGCATAAAAAGAATTCAGTAAAACTTGCACAAGCTCAAAGAGGATGTTGTAGAGGCAAAAACCAAAACCTCTAGATCAATCTCTCCACTGTTCTCCACAAGGTAGCTGATAACTTTTTGTTGTTGCCTATTGGAAAAGTTTATTTGTATATAGTTTCTCAAAGGAATTGCTAGAATATTGATGGGAAGGGTATAAAGTAGAGCCATCAGGGAAATGGCCTTAACATACATTATACGTGGGAAGAAAAAAAAGAACAAAAGGTAGAAGATTAAAGAAAGAAGGGAAGGAAACATGAAATGCAGAGTGAGTGAGTGAGAAACAGAATAATACAAATAATAGGCAATAATGATATGTGGAAAAATTGCTTTTCATCCATCCCAAAAAAGAAGCCTGGGAAGAGATTGTACAGGATAGTTAATTCTGAGGTCAAGGGAAACACAATAATGCAGACTGTAAAGATTACAACTCAGTCTTGTAAGCTGGAGAAGTTCCTGAGCGAAGCATTGTACAAGACCATCTTCAATATCCTTTAGTTATAAAAAATTGACCAGTGTGTACTCTGCTTCACATTTATGTACCCAGGTCTCTGTGAAAAAGTCTTTCCACAGCTTCTTTCACTTCTTTATTCCTCAGTGTGTAGATGAGTGGATTGAGGGTCGGGGTCATTACAGTATAGAAGAGGGAAATGAATTTCCCATGAGTGTGGGGATAAGAACTGTTGGGCTGGATATAGACGGCTGTAATGCTCCCATAGAAGAGGGACACTACCATCAAGTGGGATCCACATGTCCCCAGCACTCTGTGCCAGGCCTGAACTGACTTGATCCTCATAACTGCCTTGACTATGTGTCCATAGGACATCAGTATCAGTGCTAAGGGCAAGAGGAGCAAGACCAATGAAGCAACGAAGAGCTGGACCTCATTAGCATGGATATTCACACATGCAAGCTTAATCATGGAGGGTACCTCACAGAAGAAATGATGGAGCCACAGGTGTCCACAGCGAGGCAGTCGCAGGGTGACAGTGCCTTGGATGAGGGCATTCCCTATTCCACTTAGCCATGCGACCCCTGCCAGAGCCCGGCACAGCTGTGGGTTCATCACAGCTGGATAGTGGAGAGGTTTGCAAACTGCAGCATAGCGGTCAAAAGCCATTACAGCCAGGAGAACACATTCAGTGGAGCCCAGTGCCAAGGACACATACAGCTGAATGGCACAACCAAGGCATGTGATGGTCTTGGCTGGTCCTTTGAGGTTCCACAGCAGCTGAGGGACAATACTGGTGGTAAAACAGATGTCAACTAGGGAGAGGTGAGTGAGGAAAAAGTACATGGGTGTCTTGAGTTTAGGGTCTATGGAAGAGATCAGAATAATTACTGTATTTCCAACAAGGGTAAGCAGATAAGACATCAAGACAACCATGAAGAGTATCTTTTCCAGCCAAGGCTGGTTCGAGAAGCCCACCAGAATGAAGTCTGCCTTTGCACTCTTATTGGTCATACCCACTACCTGTGTAGACAAGACTAAAAACATTACAAAAATTAAGAGAGAGTCACAATATCAAGTAAAATAATTCTTTGAAACACCCACTCTAGGAGACATTACAGTGACCTAAGGAATACATTTTGGCACAGTGTCTTTCAAAAGCCACAGCAGATGATGTTCAAGAACAACACTCCTCAGAGTGGCAGAATGGTGCTGTCATAGAAACAAAGCAACTTCCCTGAATAAGAAATGTCAGACACTGAGGGGGAAATTACCACAGAAAAAAATAAAGGAAAGAAGGAGAATGGAAACTGAATAAAATACTGTCTGTCCTTTTGGCTGATAACAAATCAAATTAAATGGAGAAATTCAGTATTTTTGATATTTAATATAAGCAAATAATTTATAAATAATATACCCATTCTTCATACACAAACTTTGAGCTGGGCATTCTTTAAGGATCTTTATATGAATAACAGATTTTAAAGACTATAGGAGCTATTTTGATATAAAGTATGAAGCATTTTGGCATTAAAATTATAATATTACACTTATACCTAAATAGTTAATCATATGAAAACATAATTTCAGAAGCATTTTTCCTTGTGGGATTAGCTAACTCATATATTCTAGCAGTTTATTGAGTGTTTAAATTCATGCAGTGCATTGAGATCAACCGTCTTATTCTTTTAGTGTGTGGATTTGGGGAAGGAAAATAGTTTTCTGGTTTTGTGAGTTGAATTAAAAGATGGTTGAATCTGAATGGATTCAGGGGAAATGAAAGAGGCTGCATTGATGTTCACCAAACCTGTATAATTTTTCCTTCTAGAGGACTGAAGGAACCACTTTTAAAAACTCCAAATAGTTCTAAATGCAATAGTTTAAAATATGTTCACTGTTTCAATGATTGTACACAAAGACTATAACTATACTTCATGTTTAAGACAATATGCACTTTCTACAGGGTATCAACAAAAATCATTCTGGCCTTAAAATCTTACCTAATAATTATTTCACAACCTGTAATTCTTTCATTATTTGCTATGAAATTTAATCAAAGAAATAATTCACAAATATTGGTCCATTATATTAATTTGATTTATCATGTAAAACTGTCCCAGAACTTAGTGGAAATGAAGTCAAAAGGAAGGGCTGGGGGAGGGATATAGACCCCTAATAATCAATATCTGCCTGAAGTCCCCAAGTGATCACTTGAAATAGGAAGAGGGGAACATAGTAATAAAAAAGACAATGTGGAGAAACTCCTAAGGAACAAAGTAATATATACACATATATATGTATATAATATTATTAGTGTATACATGAATACATATTTCACATAACATGTATGTGTGTACATATATATGTATGTAGTTCTAATTCTTATAAATATGCTTATAGTTATACACATATGCATCCATGGAAACACAAGTACATACATTACATGCATAACTTTTCCTTCTCTCATTTTACCTCTATCAAAAGAATAAAACAAAACCAGACATACTCTTGTTCTAATCCTGTTCATGGGGACCATATCTATTCTACTCAAATGAGATGTTCTATACTGTTTTTAGTACACAGCCATGCACACAAAAAATCCTAAAAAGAGTTCAACGAGAGATGAATTCACAGGCATGTATCAGTTCCTTGTTTATCAGAATGTGTTCATTTCAGGTTTTTAAAATAATTGCATTTTGTTCTCTGATGCAAAATCTAATATCATATGTGTATATTATATCTGCCTTTCTCAGATGACATTCTTAAATCACATTCAATTTACGGTTAAAAGTTAAGAATCGAACATGATGTAGGCATAAATCATGGCGTAAATAGCAGTAAATTAGTTAAAACATAAGAAGGTTTCCATAAAGATAATCACATTTTAAAACAAAAAGGAAATTTAAGCCATGGAGTGCAAGCCATTTTTACCTTGAACTGACAAAACAGTGCCTGAGGCACATGTCTGCTTATAGGGGCTGTTATGTGAGACTGGGGATCCCTGAAGACCAGAAAATCAGAAGAGACCATGGCAGGACAAAGTCCACTGAATCCAAGAATATCCCAGGGACACAGTTCTCCCAGTATAGCAATTAACCTCAGGCTGTCTAGTATCCAAAGTCAACCTGTCCCACGAGGTCATTCTAAAAGACATTCTTTTGCCTCTCTGATCTTTCATACATACAATGAATTTATCCTCCTGGCAGACAATTTCAAATTCATTTCATCATCTTGTAATCTTCTTGCCATATCCTTTCTTCATATCTTCCCTGAAAAACTGCTGCAGATGCCTGGAACATTTTAGTATTTATGAGCGCTTGAGTGTTGGTGGAGATAGACATTAAAATATCTGGAATTATTCATTATTTTTTATTGTTTTGGTAGCACTGGGGTTGGAACTCAGAGCTTTGTGCTTGCCAGGTGCTCTATCACTAAGCCATGCTCCAGCCCTTTTTACTTTAGTTACTTTTCAGGAGGATCTCCAGTTTTTCCCCAGGGCTGGGATCTTCCCACCAATGGCCTTCTGTGTAGGTCGAATAAAAGGTGCACCCACTACATTTTGGCTTATTGATGGGGTCTCACTATTTCCCCACCCCCATGATGGCCTGGTACAATGATCCTCCCAATCACCACCTCCCAAGTAACTGGGATTACAGATGTGAGCCACTGCACCCAGCCAGAATTAATCCTTTAAAAATACCTGGCCTCTTTGGAAATGGTCGTTCTGCCCAGAAATATTTCTGTATATATCCTATTGTTTGTCTCTTCCAGCACCATAGCACAGTTCAACAGACTCTTACATTGTATCCAGAGTCCCACATGCCTTCAAGCAAGGTGTCTTGCTCTGAATTCTAAGAAAGACAGACCTCAAGTGGAAATCCTTTAACTTCCTTTCTGCCACATACAAACTTACCCACACTCATGTCCATGAAAATGCTGTTCCAGGTGTCAATAGAAATAGTGAATTTCTATTTGTCCAAGGCTAATCCTTCTTTCAGGATTTTGGAACCTAAGGGAAATCTCATGCACATTTGATTTTTAGGCAGATGATATTAACGGCAGAGTGGGTTCTATCTAAGAAAAACAATTGCCATAATGCAGAGATGAGTGACAATCAACATTCAGCTAAGGTCTCTCAATAAATAAGTAGTAGAGAGTTGGACAAACTTCACTGCACATTCCCCTCCTAAAGGAAAAGGAAACCACTCAGCTCAAGATGATGAATTTTCTATGCTTTGAGTCCCTGGACTGAAAAGTATTCAGAATCATCAATAGAATCTGAATTTTTATGAAAGTGTATGGATTTATAAAATATATTTCATATACTAAAGCAAATAGTTCATAAATGTGCAGCCTGCTACATTATTACATCGTGAACACATCTAACTGAAGAATGAGGAACACTGTGGAACAACCCTCAAATTCATTTCCATAGAATTTTACCTGTCCCCACATGAGCATTATGGTATGACACATACATACAAAATTACACATTATTATTTTTGCTTCTGCCCTTGTTCGTTCAACATTTTGTGTGATTCACTCAACTTGGTGCTTGTTAACATATACAATACAGTTTTATTGCTGTATTGTATTTTGTTGTGTGAATATACCACAACTTATTTATCTACTGTAGTATCGATAGGTATTTGAATGCTTCTTGATTATGTTTTTATGAATAATGCTGCTTTGGATATTTTTGTATGTCATTGGGTGAACAAAAATGTAAGTATTCTTTTGGTGCCCATCTTTGGAGTAGAATTGCTTAGACATAAAGAACGCATATGCTCAACTTTAGTAGACAGTAGAAGCCGGTAAATACTACAGTTATACTCCACACCTGCACTCCACAGATAGGTGCTCCACATGTATGTCCACACAGTATTTTCTGCTCATTCAACTTTAGCCATCCTGGTAGTATGTAGAGGGTATCTCATTATGATATTTTTCCTTTTTTTTTGGTGGTACTAAGGTTTGAACTCAGGGCTTTGTGTTGTTAGGCAAGTGCTCTACCTCTTGAGCAACACATCCAGTCTTCATTATGATTTTAATATGTACTCCTCTGATGACTAATAAAGTTGACCAGATTATATCCCGCTTATAGGTCACTGGGAGATGTTCTACTTAGCTGGGGGCATGGCTAAACTGGTAGAGTGCCTTCCTAACAAGAGCAAGGCCCTGAGCACAACAAAACAACAAGAAAACCTCCTTGAGATCTTACATGTAGTGCCTGTTCAAGCCCCTACACTTTCTAAGAAATATTTCTTAGAAATATTTATGTCAGAGGTTTAAAAAATAAAAGGAATAATTCAAGTACTTTTTTAGTCAAGAATAACTTTAGGAACAAAACAACCAGAAAATTATAGTATAGTTTAACAAGCTAATTTAAAAATATTATCAATTATTTATAAAAATCACATACATTCTCCAAAGTGAATTTATTTTAGAACTGAAAATGAATATTTTACCAAAATAAGAGTATAAAGGGAGAAAAATACATAATGACCTCAATAGATCAAAAATCAACTATTTGATAAAATTAAAGATTATAAAGACTAACAAGACGATTTTGTAAACTGACTAGAATGAAAGACTGTAATCTGTTAAAGAAATTTGGTATTTCATGTCTATAGGATTGGCATCTAATTTTCAAAGCTTTTGCTGTAATAGTTAGTCACTCACATGGAAAAGATGATACATGACCACTTTTTCACCATATCCATAAATATCCTTCCCAGTTGATTGCATATTCCTGAAAGAAAAAGCTATATATTCATGACATCACGGGAATAATTTTTTAATTAATCAGTTCTTGGATTCAAAATGTAAGGAAAGAATTTAATTTGAGTACATTAAGCATAGTAAAAAGTTCTGAAACACCCTCAGGCTGATTTTCTAGGAAAGACCCTGCTCTTTCCTGATATAATGTACTTCTTCCTTAGAAAGTCTTCCCACTGTATAACATCATCCCCCATATTACTGTCTGCATCTTTTCTTTTCTGTACCACTTCTTCAACTAATTTACTCACTCTCTTATGTTTACACACCCATGTGGGTTTGTACTATCCCTACCCAGGCTAAAAGCCACTCTGATGCTAGTCTGTCCTACTGTCCTCAAAGAGTAAGGAAATGTGTTCTAGGAAATGTGTTCTTGTTCTGAAGTATGCAGTGGTTCATGATGCTTTCCTATTACCATTTTTATTCTATTCAGTGTTTAGAATTATGTCCTATTTTATTACCTTACTGATAATTGTTTCTTGGGCTTTCTCATATTTTTCCTTATGCAGTACCACTAGCAATTTGCCAATTTTACCAATTTTTCTCAAAATTGTACTTTTTTCATTATTAATCCTCAAAGTTGTAAAATCTTTTCTGTTTGCTTTCTATTATATTTGTGACCTGAAATAAGGCATTTTAATTACTGACATGAGAATATTTTTACTAAAGATGGCTTTTTGCCATTTGAAAATGACCTTAAAAATCATATGACATTCTTAATTTGCTATCCAGGAACATGGGAAGAATTCCTTTGTGATTTGGATAGTATAGATGAAAAACCAAAGTGGCATTTCTTCAGTTTCCTTTATTAGCAAACACATGCGGTATTTGGTTTCTTGAGTTTGGCTTATTTCACTGAGCATGATAATCTCCAGTTCTAGCTTTTTTGTAATTATACATTATATAATTTTCATGAGTAGTCTCTCTGTTACCTTATTGATAAGCAAATGTATATCATGCTGTTCTAGGTGCCAGGTACTCTGCCAGGCATGTTGTAAACATTACTTCTCTTATTCCTCAAAATAGTATTACAAAATTGGTATTCTCATTCTATGTACTATAGCATTGAAAAATTTTCCCTTCTAGAGATAAAGCAAATTACTCTGGGAGTTAGAACTTAGTTTGGTATTGCTCTAGTGTGCAAGGCCTTAAAGAAGATATTTTCCTAAAACTTGTAGAAATGTCTAACCTCTCAGTGATTTGGTTCATTTTACTCTTTTAAACAGAGCTCCTATGATTTTTGATTACATATTTCTCCCTTAACTATAATAGAATGCATGATTTCAAAAATAGATCTACCATCTCATATGTTTATCAGTTAATGATACATGAAATATGGCATGACAATAGCATGGAGAAAGAGGCTATGATTGAGTGGCGGGGACAAATTTGACTTTGAGAAGTAAATAAGGAATTAAATGCATAAGGCTAATAAAATATTTTAGAAACTACTGTTTAAATATACACTCAGCACACAATTAATGAGAGCATGCTGAGAAGATGAAACAAATTCAAACAAGACAGTAGAGAACCCAAGTTCTTATCCTACTTTTCACTTTATTCTGTAACCATTTAGAAACCACCCAATATTAAAATAGCAGAGGCACATATTAAAGAAAATTCCTATAGAATCAAAATTATCATTAAGAAAAAAGATAAGAAAGAAAAGCTTTGAAATTTTTGAAATTTGGCTCCAAGGACTCACACATTACGTGCCTCAGAGGGTGGGAGATGACCCATATGAGGTCTTACGGTTCAGGAGTGATTGTCTATAGTAAGGTAGACAGCATATTCCATACTTGTATCCATAGTCCTTAAGTTAAATTCTGCTCTTTAAACTGAACATGCCCACAAACCAATTTCAGCTCAGAGCTATAGTCAATCTTTATGGGACCAAGATAGAGGATACGAATTAAGGCAGTGACAGTGTGACTGGAATTGAGGGGATGGGTTCAGATGACATTAGAGGATTGGGTAGAGAAGAGTTGCCCATGTCTGTGAGGAAAAGCTTGATTTAAATGTAATGTAGGACCTAGAGTTAGAGTTTATGCGGACTTCAAGGAGCAACAAAAAAGAAAGGGGGATACTTTGACATATTTAAAAGTTGTTGCAATAATCCTAGAAAGTGATTAAAGTTAGAAAGGAGATTAAATGGATAAAGGATATCAAGTTATTAGATGTGGAATCACATAGCAGGTGTACTAAAGTACTTAAAAATTATTGGGTGGTTTTATGTAACAGGCTCTGAGTTAAACTCTTCCTGCATGATCAGATTTACCTATCATGACAGCCATGGAAATTTAGGAAAGTATTACTACCACTCTTGTATAGCAGAGAAACTGTAACTTCAGATAGCATTCTCAAGCCCTAGTTGATTAGCTTGGCAAAACAAGGCTTGAACCCTAACACTCTGACCCAAAGTCTCAAATGTTTTCTTTGCAACATTGATTCCAAAGTTAAAATTGGTACTTAAGGACTGGCAGAGTGCTCAAATGGTAATAGCACCTGCGTAGCAAGCATGACTCCTTGAGTTCAAACCCTAGTGGTGGCAAAAAAAGAAAGATTGGTACTTAAGTGCAAAGTAATGCTAAACACAAGATGTGTGAAGAGAGATTTTGATTAATCTTAGCGTGTCCAGTAAAAAATCAAATACAATTAAATATAAAACACAAAACAAATGCAAACCAGCTTCCCAAAACATGTTAGATAATAAAGAAAGATACATGCAAAGACTTTGGAGAGTTGAACATCATATTTTTGAAAAGTTGTTAATGATTGTTAAGATTTATTCAACGTTTAACAGTGCCATGGTTGACTGGTTTTTTTGGCAATTTGCATAAGTATAAATGTAGAAAGTGGTTGAACTGAGGAACATATACATTAGGTTAGCAGAGCATTATATCACAGCAATATGGCTCCAGCGTCCATGTGTTCAACAATCTCAAAGACCCTGAAACCATCTGTCTAGGTCAAACAGGATCAAAAAGGACATTTTTCCAGACAGGTAGATCCTGGATCCATCTTAAATTACATTATATGAATGTTCAATATGATATTGTTATTTAATAATTATTTCATAATTACCTAATAATCCCTATAATAATTATTTTAAATAAGTATTTGGTTTTTCTCAGTATCATTCTAAGTGGAATCACAAATCTGATCCTTTGCTTCAAAGCACCTCCATTGTTGAAGTTTGGTTTTCCTATATTTGTTTCACGAAAGAACTGGGATAAAGTGTCTGAAAAGTTTGCAACAAAGCTCTTTTACAAGGGAAAAACTGCAGTGATTTCCTCATATTAATATATACTTTTCAAATTTTTACTTGAATAGTAAATATTATTTTAATTTTATTTTCATGTATGTTTCAAAATGGGGAAGATCTACAAAAACTTCCATTCTCATTATGTACATCAGCTCTTAAAATACATTGAATAAGAGACAGTGTAAAAATATCTTTGATACACACATGAGGTTCCATGAGCTACAGAAGTTGAATCTAAATTGTTCTTTTTCTAGACAATGTCAGCCATATTCTACACAATATAGCTAGAGAGGTAAGTAAACAACACATCTATAACACGTTTGTAAGTAGTTATTTAACAGTATGTCTCTTAAATTTCCAGAGCAGAAAATCATTGTTTCCTGATTTACTTTCCTATTAGATATTATGTTCTCTCCTCAGGAGTCTCCATAGAGCTCCTTTGACATCTTTGTTCCTCAGCGTATATATGAGAGGTTGAGGGTGGGAGCCACAACAGTATAAAAGAGTGTGAGAAACGTACCTTGGCCATGGCCAAAGGATCTCTTTGGTTGAATGTATATGACTGAGCTGGTCCCAAAGTAAAGGGACACCACTAGTAGATGGGAACCACAGGTACCTAGGGCCTTGCGCCAGGCTTGAGCTGACTTAATTTTCATCACAGCTTGTACAATGAATCCATAGGACACTGAGATTAGTGCCATGGGAATAAGGAGGAGGAGAACTAATGTAGCCACAAAAAGCTGGGCTTCATTTAAACGGATGTCAACACATGCCAACTTGATCATGGCAGGCACTTCACAAAAAAAGTGGTGGAGACGGTGATGCCCACAACGAGGAAGCCGAATGGTGATAGTGCCTTCGATGAGAGCGTTTCCTACTCCACTTAGCCAGGCTATTCCTGTTGAGGCCTTGCAAAATGATGGATGCATAATAGTAGTGTAACTGAGAGGTCTGCAGACAGCTACATAGCGGTCAAATGCCATGACAGTGAGGAGAACACATTCAGTGGAACCTAAAGTGAGGGACACATAGAGCTGTACCATACAGGCAGAGTATGTGATGGTCTTGGATGGTCCCTTCAAGTTCCACAATAGCTGGGGGATAATGCTGGTGGTGAGGCAAAGGTCAAGAAAGGAGAGGTTTGTGAGGAAGAAATACATGGGTGTGTGGAGTTTGGTGTCCAGGCAGGAGACCAGGATAATGACTGTGTTGCCCACAAGGGTCAGAAGATAGAATATCAGAACTACCATGAAAAGGATGATTTCCAACTGGGGCTTGTCTGAGAATCCGAGCAAAATAAAATCTCCCCGAGAGGTTTCATTGTTTTCTTCCATCAGTCCTCCAAGGGAAAAGAGAAAAGTGAGCATTAGGAATTCAATCTAGGGAAATAGCATTATACTATTTGTACGATATTTGAGATGAATACTTAGGTGAGGTTTTTAACTAGTGAAGTTACACTGAGAAGACAATAAGTAATGAGTGAAAAGATAGTGTTAAATACACAGGTATTGCTTTGTGTCATCATTTTTCATCTCAATAAACAATTGGATTTAATTACCTGATCAGAGTGATATATGGTCAGACACAAGCAAGTTTCAATATAGAGGAAAAGAAAATTCTTTCTGTAGCAACTGATATGAGTATTTACCACAAAATATTTTATCTCTTTCAGCTGATAGAAAAATGTTAGTGGACTATTTATGTAAAAGTAAAAATGCCTCACAAACTTAGATATGCATACATTTTTTGAAACATGTAAACACAAGACGTTTTAGACACAAATCAAGGTAAAATTCATTTCTACTGACTCATTTGAAGACAAGGCATTCACATCTAATAATATCATGAGAAGGAAAACACTTGTTTGTAAGCTCATTTTACATTGTTCTGTTTAATATTAAAAATAAGCCAGATATTAATATATTCTGTCATACCTTTTTACTTACTATTTTATGATATTATAATCTGTGCCCTCCAAATTTTGCTCTCTCAACAGCACCTTTGAATCAATTTCTTTTAGAAATAATGAACTCTCAATCTGTTGTTTTTTCAGATGCATTTATATTTCAAAAAGTGTAATTGTATCTGAAATGGGGAGAATAAAGTCTAAAAATTTAAATACTGAAGCTCAGTGCATAGATGTTTATATCTAATTGAGAATTTTCCTTGGAGAAACCTGAATATCTAGAAATATAGACTTCCACATTCTATATAATCCTAATTCTGTTTAACATAAAATGTTAATTTATCTCAGACTGATGTGTTTTAGTCAGTAAAGTAGCAATTACCAATTTTCTAATTTGATGTCAAATTTCAAAATTGCATAATTTTGTAGGATGCTAGATTTGGAAGCAAATTTAAAAATAAAATTTTAATTTATTTCTCTTTTCAGGAGCTTAAATACAATATTCATTAAGTAATGTGTTTATGGACATCAAAATGGAGAATCAAAAATAATTTTAAAACTATTGAATTGGGGGGAGAAATTACCCAAGCAATGTATGTACATGTGACTAAATGAATAATTTAAAAAAACTATTGAGTTGATAATTATTTTGTTTTATTTTAATTATTGAGATCATTTTTGGTTTATAAAACTTCTTATCTCATATTATTTCTTATAATATTTATTTTTCCAACATTTTTGAGCTGTAATTGACAAATAAGTATGCTTATCGTGTGCAATATGATGTTCAATACATATACATTGTGAAATGGTTATCACAGCCATCTAATTCATTTCACATGGGAGAATAACATTAGTGTAGGTGATTATGAGTCTACTAGAATCACAAGTGATATCAAAATCATCTAATTACTCTTCTCATATCTACCTAGTAAGATCCTCCAAAATATTTTAAGACATTTGGTTTATATGGAATTATCGTAAGAGTGCCTTCTATTACTACCTATTACATTTTGTTCTGATTATGCTGAAGAGTAACTCTAATCTGAAGAGAACAAGTTTTTACATTGCAGGTTAAATGTGTAGGCATTTACCTTCTGTAAATTCAAGTCTGACTTGTGGCTTGAATGGAGTCCATGAATATAATACAAGGAGAGTGACTAGACATTAGTGTGTATGTGTGTGTGTAAAATGCACATAATTTTCAACCCAAAATAGAATTGTGAAAGGTTACCTTTTCCATTTCTTTTTTTAAATTTTTACTTTATCATTTTTACATTTACTTACATGTGTCTACATTATTTGGCCCTTCCCCTATTTCACCCTCTCGTTATCCCATTTTGCTGCAGAAAAACATAAAAGACAATAAGAAAAACACAGCGTTTTTGCTAGTTTAAGATAAAGATAGCCATACAGGGAGATTCCTTGTGTTGTCTCCATGCATATGTGTATTACAACCCAAATTGGTTCATCTCTACTAGATTTCTTCACTACTTCCTAGTCCCCTTCCCATAGTAGCATCTGCCAGTTTAAGATTGCTATTTTTGCTCCTATACAGTGAGCATATCAACTACATTCAAGTTTTTGGTTTCCTTCCCTTTCCCTATCCCTCCCGTGCATGGTCTCCTCTTAGCGTGTGAACCCATGTCCAATAATATTACTAAACAAAGGCTATAAAATGCTGTTAAAAGAAGGAAGAATTGTATAAAAGTAAATCTCTTTTCTTTTGACCAAAACGTCAAGAACTTTCTTCCTCCTGAGCACTTTTTTTTCTGATCCTCCTTGTGGTGTGAACAATGATTATCTTTAATGAAGATGCACAGAGCTTGGATCTCTGAAAGGATTCCTGTTGGATCCATAGAGAGACACAGTGAATCAGGGAAGTAGCTGATTGAGACACTGCTGACCCATAGGATTTGCAGGCAACTCAAGAGAGACTTAGACATGGTGATAAGATACTAAGACAGGTTACTTAGGGATAGGCACATGGCTCATGCCACTAATCCCAGGTACTTAGGAGGTGGAAATTGGGAGGATTGCGGTTTCCTGCTAGCCCAGGCAAAAAAAAAAAACTACAGAAAAACCATACCAACAAACAAGTCTGGCATAGTGGTACATGGAAAGTGAAAGTAGGAGGACCACAATCTAAAGCTGGCTGAGGAAAAATCAAGACCCTAACTGATAAATAAAGCAAAGCAAAAAGGAATGTGGATGAGGCTCAAGAAGTGTGAGACCTGAGTTCAAAACCTCAGTACCATAGAAAAGATTACTTACATTCTCTAGGTCATGTCCCTCTCCTTTTTACAATTACCAGCATGTAGAGAATGGCAATGGCAATGGGACTTAGCATCTGCATTAGAGTTTCTCTCCTGGAGTGAATGTTACTGCCCAATACAGCGAGCTTGATGAAAGCAAATATTTCCTCCTCTATTATCCTTGGAGAAAATGAAAAATACATAGAGATTCTTCCAAGACTTTGGGGAACAGCACATTCAAACCATTAATTAATATGGAGTTGATTAGTGCAGAGAACTTTGTTTTCTCAAGGAAGAAACATAAAGGAAGGTATTTCTCAACAGGATACACGATGTTTGTCCTGCCAGACAATATCATTGGCAAATTCTCTCACCCACACTCAGATCCCTACATTGCATATGTTCTTATATTCATTGCTATAGTTGAAGAAAAATCAAAATAAAACAAGGTCTTTGCTTTTTGAGTTAGCTATATTATTTGGACAATGGATTTTTCCAAGCCAGTTATCTTTTTGAATATTTTTCAATGTCAATAATAGTAACTATAACAAGACTGTATCAACAATGCTTCATCATTTATTTGAATAAATTATACATTTACAAACATTAGATTTCTTTGAAATTTTATTAGAAATTATAAACTGATGAGACAAAATATTTTTTAATTAAATGTAAGCCTTATAATTAATAATTTAAATATATGCACATATTGTGATATAGTTTAGCGACTATATGTTGTAAGCTGCAGATATAATTTTAAATTTTATGGAGTTAAAAAATCCATCTATTTCCTATGGCCTCAATAAGCAAGAGTTTCCAATCCACTCATTCCAATTGAGTGATTAGTTTTGTCTTATAATCAACTGGAGAAAAAGGTACATACTACCATGGCTTTTTATTTGCTTTACAAATATCTTCTGAATCTCAACTTTATACAAGTATTTGTCTATATTTTATCCCTAGTCTTCAAGTTAGAGTCGTAGTTTGCAGTTAAATGTCTATGTAATTTACTCTTTCATGTATATTTCAGTTAAATTGATGATTCAGAAATCTAGTATTATGAGTAATTACTATCCATTGTGTTAGTGGATTATCATTTGATCCATTGTATGATGCATTGAGTTCATCACTGATTTTACATACTAGTGATATGAGATGTTATTTCAAAGTCGTTTCAAAGTGTTCAAAGCTTATGAATCTTTCAGTGACATATTTCCCAGATGCTGATTGCATCTATTAGTGCAAATTGTATTGCTTCTGCTACTCTTGCTTTCTCTATGTTTTAGTTTCACATGACTTACACACATTTTTAAACTATACCCAATTATTATTTTAACATTTTATTTAGTAATATTTTTAAAATAGGGGTAAATAATTGTGATCAGTGTGGGAAACTGTGACTTATTCTTGACATATTGGGAATTTTCTAATATTTCTCTAATGAAAAGGAGAGTAGATTTTGTCTTGAGATAAACATTTTCACTTTTTGAGTAAGTTTCCCTGTTGTTTCTTACTATGTCTCATAACTTCTAAGACTCAGTAAAATATTGTGATTTTAGTCAATGAATTTGCATCAGTTGGAATCCAATTCTAGAACACAGATGAAATCAAATAAATAAATATACCCTATACAATTTATTTTAAAATACAGGTATAAATATAAAGAAGTAAAAGATTAAAATGACAATGCAATTGTGTACATAATAAAACAAAATATACATCTATGTAAATTGTCAAGTACAAATTCTTTACTTCAAATCTGCATTTGAACTTCATTGTACTAGGAAGCTACAGAGGGAAAAAGGATGAAAGTTGGATGAGAAGTAAAAATATAGAAACAATATAAAACCAGAGAATATCCTTGCACTGATCATAGAAACAATATAAAACCAGAGAATATCCTTGCACTGATCATTGTAATAATATGACACACAAGCACAGGAGTGTGATGTTATATTTGGATGTATAGTGGTCCCAAAATTCATGTGCTAAAGGCTTTGTGTTGACAGTTGATAGGACCTGTGGAAGTGATTGGATCATAACAGCTCTGACTTCATCAATGAATTAATGTACTTATGGAGTCATTTGGTGGCATTGTTGAGCGGTAGTAGAGACATAGGAGGTGGGGACTGTTTAGACGAAGTAAATCACTGGGGGCATGTCTTTGAAGGGT